AACGAGGGCCATGAAAATGACGTTGGTGGGGAGAAAAGGTCTTGGAATGTCTCCATTTTTTCTTCCCATTTCTATTCAAGTTTGTACACCATTACATCAGCCCAGTTCTTTTCTATCATTCTCCATCACTGTTTTTGATCTCCTTTCCCTCATACAAAAAAAAGGGTATTATTAGAAGGAAGGGAAGCAGATAATGATGATGATGAAAATTCTCGTCCTACATTGTACGCCAATAAGCGGGTCATCACATCCCCCCCCCCTCCTCCCCCTCCTCCCATCAGCCTCATCCGAAGGTGCTTCGAGGAAGAAAAGAGAGCCAATCAGGTACCGTTGGGTGGCCAACCGAGAAGCATTACAGTTCTACAACGAATCAGTCGTTTCGATATGCTGATTCTCGAATACACACATGTATAGCGTCGATGGTGGCATCTTGTGTGTCTGTGGACCAGTGGCGGTCCGGATCCAGAACGCCTCTCACGCCATTGACTCTCATGGCTGGTAGGAGAGGCTTTCTTCAAAATCAAGTTGGAACGGCGTATGCGACTTTCTTCCGAGAGAAAGACACCAGGTAGTACTAATCTCCTCATACCCTATGCATCTCGGCCGCATCACACGAACACTTCCGTCCACTTCCCCGCGCTTCTATTGCAGCTATTGTCAATCTTGTCCCAGGACGGATAGTCAGATAGATCAGCAACGCGGGGACTGACACGCGGGGGGAGGGGAGGCCCGACTTGGAGCATCATCACCTCGTACTCGCACATTAATTGGTACATGGTAGTTCACACTATGCACACTATATTCACTTGACAATCTTCGTACCAGCAGCACAGGTGATGCCGGACGGCTGTATCATGACGCCAGCTCTCAACGATTCCACACCGCTCATCGTCAGTGCACGTGACCTGAGGCTCGATGTATTCCACCCAAACTTGGGGAGAAGAGAATATGATTTAATTATCGGTCTCTCGTTCATGGTAAAATGAAGAGGAGAGAAAGAAAGACAAGAAGAGGAGGAAGAAAGAGACAGAAAGAAAAAAAAAGCGGTATATTACTCCAGACAGAAAACACGCCCACAATTACCAAGGCAAACTCATGTTCTTTTTTTTCCCCTCTTCCACCGACGCCCATCCCCCCTCAAATGCCAACCCAGATGAGCATGATGACGATGTCGAGTCCCTTTCCCTCTCCCCCGTCATACTTAAAGGTCCACATGCCATCCTTCTTCTCGTCCCAGTAGGCCCCGGTGGCGCTGTGCATGCCCCTGCGTCCGACGTGGGGCTTGCCGTCCGTGGCCGTGGCGCCGCCCTCGGCGCTGGTCGAGATGTGAGGTTCCTCGGCCTTTGACTCGGCCCCGCCGCGCGACTTGCTGAGCGATGAAGTCGGCACAAGGTGCTGGACGATGGTGCTGTTGCAGGCGAACTTGAATGAGGGGGCTGAGGCACCCGAGGGTGTGGCTTCGGAGATGACAGCCTTGAGCATGGAGCTCTTTAAAAAAAAAAGGGCCGGGGGGGGAGGGGGAGGAAATGTTAGCAATTAGTTTCCAAGGTGTACGGGGCAGTAGAAGGAGGGAGGGAGGGAGAGGAATGCTCTCTGTCAAAGAGTGAGCAGGGGAAGAAAGCCTTACGATTATCGTCGAGTTCCACTGCTCCGTCTTTGCATGGTCGTAGAACTCGGCGCTGCCAATGGCGCTGTTGCACACCTGTTTCTTCCCGTCAGTCTCTGCATCCGACTGATGTGTCTCCGTCTATTTCCCATTTGCATCGTGTCGGGTTCGAATAACATACATCGGTGGCAATCTGCTTGAGGCGCGTAAAGGGGATGGGCTGTTTGGGAGAGAGAGAGAGAGAGAGAGAGGGTCAGCTTGCACGTCTCGGATCTGGGGGGTTTCTCTCTTTTTTCCCCTATTGTTGAGAGGAAGAAGTAGAGTCATCACTTACAGGAGTGGCCATGGTTTCGGTATTATGGATTTGTAGTGTTGTTGATGGTGAGAGGAAGGCAAGACGTTGTTGTTGTTGTTGTTGTTATTGTCGTCGTTGTTGTGGTGGTGGTGGTGGTTGTAGAGGTAGAAACGGCGATTTGGAACCCCACAACAAAAAGACAAACGGAGAGCTGGCGGTCCACTAGGTAGCAATAGGGGCGCGTTGATGCGCTGGGCTAACGTGAACAGCGAGTGTGAACTAGAAGAAAACAAAGCAACAGGCTACAGAGTTCACGATACACCGAATAAACGCGTGGGTGAATATACAAAGACCACTCCTTAAATCTCTACATCGCGTGCCACTATTTATCCCATCTCTGGGGGTGCATCCCTCTCTCATCAGATGCGACGTAACCTTCCTGAGTTTATTTAGGCCAGACGCTGAGACGAACGAGACGGAATCATGGCAGACACTGGGGCTCTCCCCCAAGCAGATTGCTGACTGAGTCCCTTACTTGCGGTGGGTGGCACTAGCTGGCCGTAGCCGGCTGGACAGAATAAAAAGAGCACCACCACTACAGTTTTGGTATGGCTAAGCTGCCCTACAGAATTAACGCACCCAAGCTGCCCAAGGCCTCCCACACGACAACCAATACTCTGTTTCTAGGAAGCGCACGTGGTACACTCCAACAACAGCCTACAAAGTATTACAGTATCGCTGCGCTGCTGTACTCGTACGTCGTAGTGGAGATACGGTTTCGGTTTGCGTTCTCGTCAGAGGGGAAAAAAAACATTGCCGAAACCTCGAATGCTTTTTTTTCTTGGCTTTTGTCTACTCTTTTTCTCTTCTTCTTCCCTCCCCCCTCTCTGCCTCCTCCCAAGCAAAACCAATTTCCTATCACTCTGGAACCGATTCCTTTTTGTTTATCATCTGGAGGAAAGCCTCATCACGAAGGCAACCAGCCACGAACCATGTCTTCTCAGCCTCTTCTCCAGACGTCGCAGGGTGCGTCTCTCTCTCTCTCTGTCTCTCCCTGTCTCTCTCTGCCTCTCTCTCCTCATCTCATCCTGGAAGGAATATAATATCTCGTCCGTGTGCAATCAATAAAATGCTGACTCTGAACCCCAGGTAAGCGAATCGCCCTTCCGACCCGCGTCGAGCCCAAGGTCTTCTTCGCCAACGAACGAACATTCCTCTCGTGGCTCAACTTCACCGTCATCCTGGGGGCCCTGGCCATTGGCATGCTCAACTTTGGCGACCGCCCGGCCTTCATCTCGGCATTCCTCTTCACCGCCGTCGCCATGCTCACCATGATATACGCCCTCGTCACGTACCACTGGAGGGCAAGGTCCATCCGCGTCAGAGGCCAGGCCGGCTTCGACGATCGCTTCGGCCCCACCCTCCTGGCCGTCGTGCTCCTGCTGGCCGTCGTCGTCAACTTCATCCTCAGGATCGCCGACCGCTCCAACAAGGAGAAGAATGGTCAGCTATAAATCTCTTGCGGCTACAGCTCTTTTCCGCAGTGAGCGGGAGGGGGGGATGTGGATCAGCCTCGTCCCCATCTCTGTGGAATACAATCGACCCAACATGAAGGGGACAGGGAAAAAATGGATAAGATTCAAAAGAAATACAAATGAAAGGGACTGGAGCAGGACTAGAGTCATGGCGAGGACTTGAAAAGAACGGGAGCAAGTCATGGTGAGTATATAGGATGTATTATGCCGAGATGTTGCGGCAGGGCACAAGGAGCAACTTCACATCTTTTTTTTTTGGGTATATTGATTTCACGCGCATCTGCTTTTTTTGGACTCCATTGATAGCTTTCTCATTCATCATTTCAGTTACTTTTTTTTTGCATGGAAATTACAAGATCTAGTTCAGCCTGATTATGCTATGAGTACCAATTGTTGGAAGGGGAAGAGAAAGGGTATCGTATCAAATGTCATCAACGCCGTATCAGACCCAAACCTCGTACAATATCAACCCATCCGTCTGATAACCAGACCGCAGGTATGAACCGATGCCCCGACATACACATGTACCGCCGTCCCTGTCACTCACGCGCCCGTACTCGTCTGCACGGTAACACCGTCCTTGGCCCTCAGCTCCGGCACGGCCCCCGCCGACAAGAACACCCTCATCGACTTGACAGCCCGCCCGCTCCTCTGCGGAAGCACGGCGTTCTCGAACCTGGTCTGCATCGATTCGAAATAGTCGTCTTCGTCTTCGTCTTCGCCGTCCTGTTCCTCATCATCGCCATCTCCCTTGTCTTGCTTCGCCCCATCCAGTACCGTCCCCTCCACGACGTCCACCCTCTTCTTCATCCTCTTCTTCTTGGCGGCACCATCGTCCGACGGCAGTTCGAAGAGCTGATTATACTGGAACCACGGCCTCCCCTGCGCCTTGAGTACGCGCTTGCACTGCTCCACGATTGTGATGAGCTTGCATGCCTCTGCTGGCCGGGAGTGCAACAGAACTACACGGCTCCTCGTCCTGCTCCTGTCGCTGACGGCTCCGTCCGAGCTGCTGTCGGTGCGGGGTTGGAGGATGTGGCCGGTCGCGTAGATGACGCGCTTGCGTATCTCGGTCGACGAGATGACCGAGGCGGTAAGGATGTCGTATTTGGAGGAGAGTTCTGCTGCGATGGCTTCGTGGGGGGCTGATAGGGTGGGATTCTGCTGCGGCCGGGGCTTTTTCGCTTGTGGGGATGCTGTTGTTTTTGCGTCTGTCGCCTGCTTGCGCTTTTTGGGTATGGGCGGTTCGGCCATTTTTTTTCCTGTTCTTCCGGGATCTATGCACCGGCGGTTCTGGATCTGCCTTGTCGAGGTCCGTTTAGTGATGACGGTGGTGGGACGTCAAAAGAGGGTGGAAAAATAGGATGCGCTGTTCGGGCGTGGTGGATTATCTTATCGATACAGACAATGAGCTTCTCCCTGGATCGCAAACCCTACAGAACACTGGCATCTGATATTCCGCATACGTCTAGGCATTTCTAACCATCTGCTACAAGAAGACATGACAAGAGTTGTACCACTGTTTCTCAGCTCGACGTGTTTTCCACCGAGATTGGCATCATGATATGTCCACCTGCGTGCATTGTGACATGGCATACGTTAATACTGCCACTGCCTACCCATACGAGTGCAGCAAGGACCTCTGCCCCGCAGTTAGTTATTCAATAGTGACGTCTCCCATCCTTTCTACAGCAAAAAAAAACATGGGCATCATGCGGATTGTACTTTTGGTGATGGCATGATGAGTATTTTAAAAACTGGTCGAGATGTCGGTTATGCTATTTGAAGGAGAGGAGAGAAGGAGAAAGATCAGGTTCCAAGGGCCTATGCTGCGGGTTTTGTCTGCCAACGGACGTCGAGTGCGACCACATGATGCTGATCGGTGGCAATGTCTTATCAAAAACGCTTTCCTCCCCAGACAACAAAGAGATAGTGAGCGACAAAACTCGGGGGGGGGGGGGGGGGGGGGGGGGTTAAGGCGAGAAGGTAGAGAGAGTACAGAGCACGCTTCAAAATGGAAAAAGGGGGCCCGAATAAGAAAGAAAAGGATTCGTGATGAGATAAAGAAGACGTCATGATAAGATGCTACAGGACCTGTACGAGTAATACCAATACGCCTACTACTAGCACAATGATACTAGCACGACACCGTAATGCTCCAGTATGAGCGCTAACAGCAAATAGGTAAGCTCAGCAGACTTTCACCTTGCATAAGACTCATGCAGACGATCAACGACGGGCTGGGAGGCAGGCCATCGAATGCAGGGGGGTTTGGGTCGAGGGTAAACTTGATCAAGGGGATTTGCTCGCTCGTTATCCGGTAATGATACTCGCAGGGTAATGATACTCGCAGTGGGTGACAGAGGCTCTCTTCTTCTCTCCCGTCCTGGCCTTGCTTGCCCGCAGCACATCATCTCATCCCTCCTCTCTCCCCTCCTACCACTAGATGGTGCACTGATTTGGATGTATGGACCTCGGCTGTTCTAGGCTGGATGGAAGATGTTTAAAAGAAGAGGAAGGGAAGAGAAGACTGGGGATATGTCGGGAGACTTGCTGCTGTCTGGACCGTGAGATGGGGCGCACTAAGAAGGGAGCTATTAGCTTGGCTGAGCTGACTCCCGGTCGGAAGAGCTGCTGCTGATGCGTGAGAGAAAGAGAGGGGGAGAGAGGGAGGGAGAGAGAGAGAGAGCTCGGATGGAATATGTCTTTGCTTCTGGCTTTGGTCCAGCGCGGAAACGGCGTCTCTCTGACGGGGCAAGCTTGTATACATGGAGCAATCAATTGTACCTCGAGCTGCTTGTGTGTGGGGAATGGTTGACGTGGATAGTATCCATTGTTGGCTGTAGCTGTAAATGTACGCCCTGCATTGTCTGCTCGTATTGAACGAGTAATACTACGGAGTAAACGAAGAGAAGATGTGAATAGGCGACGGCCAGACACTAAAAACCACTGATATTTCGTACATGTGATAGTATAGGTACGCACAAGCACTCTCCTCCATTCTATTACTTGTGTACGCCGTACTGGTCTCGTATACGTATTGCTGGTATTGGGATATCTGCTGCTTGTTGCGATGACAGTATCCGTGGTGACGACCATCAACCGCACCACGCCGCATAGCCAATAGACTCGATACTAATATTGATACCGCCCAGGGATGGTTCGAAACCGTGTCTCAGATTCCTGGTGAGAGGGTATTCCAGAGTATCACCTACTCAAGGCCACATGTACAGGATCACAGCACACTCGTAATCCAGTCCTGGGCGCAGCCGTAGAGGTAGATGGCACTCCATCATCTCCATCATATTATTGCTCCGTACTCTGTACGAGTATCAATACTCCGTAAACACACCTGGGGACGAGAAAGCGGATCCCACCCCTTGTCCCAGGACCCAAGACTTCCAGCCGGGTATGTCCCCCAGGCGTTCCGATGGATGGAGGGGAAGGGGGAGGGGGAACTAACCTGGAACGACGCTTGGGACGACGCTCAGGACCTGTCGCCAGTCGGTGCTAGGGCGGGAGTTCCAGAAGAAGAACGAGACGCAGCAGAATGTTTGCAGTACATGCTGCACAGTGCTATACATGTAGGTGCTCATTGATGCTATTTCTATCCCGACGTTGCTGTTGGCCGAGACGGTTGTTCCATTCGAGCGTGCCTATCGGCGGCGTCTTGACTTGATACTTGGAGGTACCACTGCTCCGTACAGTTTCCTAGCCCCGAATAGAGGCTGTTAGCGACAAAGTAAAGCAGCACGCGGTCCTCCATCCTCCATCACCCATCAGGACCCATGGGTGCCTTCGGCGTTCAGGGCACGTGCAGGCCGCATCCATAGATACAGCTGCGGTACAGACGTTGGGTCGTGCCGGTTGCCGATGATAATATCACCAAGAGGCAGCCCGTGCTGTGCGGCCGGAGAGATGAGATCGCGAACCTGATTGGAATATTACATGTACAATCTACTCGTACGGGTGCATGTCACGCTCGATACTTCGTTTTCCTCCATCATCATGTGTAATACTTGTGGATGCCAAGTACGAGTACATGTGAGGAGTACGAGCAGTACTCGCTCGTACTGACGGGCACCGGTGTGTGGCGTTGTGGGTCATCCAGGGTCCCACTCCTACTGGACCTATAGGCTGTGGACCATTGCCTGGCGGGGACTGCTACGAGTATGTTATGCTACTTGTAACTTGTAAGCTGTATAGCTACGGAGTAATCTGTACTTGTACAGTAGTCAATAGGTGCCGGGTCACTGTCACTGGGGCTATGGCTGCCACTAAGCATACAAGACCTAGACCGGGGCGCTGCTTGTGCGTGGCGTGCGTGGTGAGTGGCCAGAACTACCACACCACCACTGTCAGCCCGTCCATGGCTGATGGATGCCTGTGCGAGTTGCCTCTCTCCTATCCTCTCCTCTTCCTCGAGTGCTTACGCCTCTTCTCTCTCAACACCGTGGCAAGCAAGGATGCACAGCTTCAGCTGTTTTGAGATGGATG